GAATCGGGTGAGGGGTGGGGGTGGGGAAAGGAAGGGAAGGAGCGCTCGTGCCCCTTCTGAGGGAAGGGAGCCTTGCCGGGAGGAAGGATGATGTGGGGAGGCCGCGAGTGCCCCTTTTTGTCTAAAGAAGGAGCGCCCGTGCTGCCCCTTCTGAGGGGAGGAAGGGAGCCTTGTCGGGAGGAAGGATGATGTGGGGAGGGAGGCCGCGAGTGTCCCCTTTTTTGTGTGTGTGTGTGGAAAATAAGCCTTCCTACTTCTTTAGTGGGGGTGGGGTGGGGTGTCCGTGAGGAAAGCGGCTGCTTCCTCTTCAGTCTTAACCCGTTGGGTCAACTCTGAGCTCAGGGATCCGTGAGGGGGAAGGAGATGGGGGGGAGCTGCCACCCGTGACTTCTACCCTCCCCCCCCTTGAAGATGTATTTCGAGGCGTGATGGTCACCTCTGTCACTTCGGAGATCCAAACTTGGAAGAGCCCTCAGAGCGTAGAAAGATGTGTGTCTGTCAATAGGTACATATAGGGTGTGTTGGTGTGTATGTGTACTCCGCTTTGCGTTGAGGAGGCCATCTCTTGTATATATCTGTACATAATAAGAATAATAAACTTAGAATGGCAGAGCTGGAAAGGGACCTTGTGGATCATCGAGTCCAGTCCCTGTCACGGAGGCACTGTGGGGGAATCGAACTCCCAACCTCTAACTTTGCAACCAGAGACTTGAAATATGTATATCCGTGGAGGGTAATTGTGGCCCTCCAGATGTTTTTGGCTTGCAGCTCCAATGAGTCCTAGGCAGCAGTGAGGGATTATCTAAATTACAGTAGAGAACGTCAAGAGGGGCATACCACACACCACCATTATGTAGAGATATGTTCACACAAGAAAGATTGGCAAAAAACTTTTATTTTAAAACAATTTATTTCCAGATCAGTGTCCTGAATGACAATGTCTGGTTAGGAAACATGGGAGAGGTAGTCCAATTTGAAGGGCATTCGTGGTTAGGAAACATGGGAGAGGTAGTCCAACATATTTGAAGGGCATTCAGAAGAGGAAAAGTAGTTTTAAGAACAGGTAGAATAATAGCCATCTCTCACTCTTTCTTACAGTACAGTGGTGATTCGCATAACGATGTTAATTGGTTCCATTAAAAACATTGTTATGTGAAAACATCGTTAAGCGAAACGCCATTTCCCATAGAAACACCTTAGACACCTCCCTCATACCCCACATTTTGCTCCTTATGCACTATATTTTCCTATTTGGGGCAGATCACACCACCACTACTGCAGCTGAGCCTCAGTGCTCTGCATTACTTTCAGAGGTAGGTGTGGCCATGATAGTACTGTTTTTTCTGTTTACTTTGTGGGTCCTAGAGAGTGTTTATATATCATACTTTTCAGTGGTAAAATCATGTTCATGGCAGGTTACAAAGGAGAACAGAAACAGTAGCAGGGTGATTGGGATACATTAAAACAAATTAAATAGCAGTTTAAAGATCATAATAACATATTGCCAACTATTGACACACAGCTGAAAGTTGAGACTACAGAAAAACACCCTTGGCCAAAAAGAAAAGCGTGCTGCTTATATACCGCCCCATAGCACTTAAAGCATTCTCTGGGCAGTTTACAAGTTAATTATGCAGGCTACACATTGCCCCCCTCCCCCAGCAAGCTTGGTACTCATTTTACGAACCTCGGAAGGACAGAAGTCTGAGTCAACCTTGAGCCAGCTACCTGGGATTGAACCTTAGGTCGTGAGCACAGTTTTGGCTGCAGTGCAGCAGTTTTACCACTGTGCCATGAGGCTCTTAGAATAGTCTTGAGAGCCCATATAAAACGAGTAAAGAGAAAACCAGCCAAACTTCTCTGGGATTCCTCTTTCATAGTTCAGGCAGCACTGGGGATCAGGTTAAAAGCTTAGGCCAAGCCAAAGATCCGTCACCAGTGCCCCTTAACCAGTGAGCTCCACAAGAGAAGCATGTGTGGGTCACTTCGAAGGAGCTGATCCAGAGCTTTACGGAACAAGATTTTAACCTCACAAGAGATCCAGCGTCCTTTCTAGTTCAGTCTTGTTATATACCTAGTTCTCAATTTTCTCTGCAAAAGTACTTTGCAGGGACTGTCTCTGGCTGCTTCCAGCCTTCCTGACGTTACATGTGAGGTGAGGATGTGTTTCTCTGACCCCTCTGCCTGCGACTTCCTTTGTGGTATCAGAGAGATTCTGAGATGCCATGAGAGAGTTTCATACTGTTTATTGCTTTTCTAAGCATCTGTAGGAAGTGAGAGTATTGATGCCCTTGGCTCATTGGATCTCTTAGTAGCAGATAGAGATCCAGTGCCCTTTCCTTGAGTTGGTGGCCTCCAGACATTTGGACTACAATCCCAGTCAGTTCCAGCCATTATGGATGCAATCAAGGAAGATGGGCACTGTAGCCCAAACCAGCTGAGAGCATCACGCTGAGTTATGCAGCCATATATTGGAGTAACCTTCCATATATTCTCACTTTAATATGGCTACCTTGCAAACAGACAAACTGAAGAAAGAGAGATTTTGAGATGCAAGAATATGTAGCAGTATGTTTTGTTGTTGAACACATTTAGCTTGAATTTCTTGTACAGTATTGATTTTAGAGATGTTTATAATGGTGAATGGATGAAGAGTAGGAGAAGGAAGCACTTGCCTCAGAAATACAGTACTTTGCTGCATCTAAATAATGCTGAGTGGAATATGTTCTAGGAAAATATGAATGAAAGCCAAAAAGGAAAAAAGGTTTCTTCAGGAAAACAGAATCTCATAATGATACGAAAAACCCTTAATTAAATGTACTTGGAAGCAGTAAGCTACAAGCATAGTACTATTCATCTAAAAATTCCCTGTGCCTAAGATGTCTGTGGCTAATGTTAGTATATTTCTGTGTAATCAGGTTGTAGCAATGTGGGATTTTTTTAAAAAAAGTCTGCTTGTTTAAGACTGTTGGAATTAGTGACTGTATATTTGTGCTTTCTGAATGATTTAAAATTGGAAATCATGTGCCTGTTAGCATTTCAGTGAATTCCTGTGCCAGTTTTTAATGCCATTTAATTATAGTATAGCAAAGCTAAGCTCCATTTCCTCTGAAAAGCTATGCAGTTCTCAAACAGGAATGGACTTAGCTTCCTAAATCTTGTTTTGAAACAAGGAAGTATTATGTGTGCCAGTATGATAGGGAAACAAACTAAGGAAATGGTTTGAAGCAAAGGGACCTGCTCTAAGGTCAAATAATGATTCAGAGACAGTAGTAGAAACGAAACATATGGTTTCTTTGTTCCCTGTCCTAAATTCTGCTGATTGTTTTTAGTTGCATGATGGAGGCTTAGTTTTCCAGTTCAGCATCCACAATAAGTGGATTGCTTGTTGTCCTGTTTTTTATGCTTCAGTTTTGGAACAGGGAGAGGAACCTGGTGCCCCTTAGACAAGAAACCCAAACAGCTTTGTCAAGATTATGGGAATTATAGTCCATAATGTCTCAAGAACAGGGGACTGCCTGAGCCTTCTTTAGTGGATGGATGTTATGCTTGTTTATAGTGTCTGTACTGATAGTCTCACATGCTAATCTCAGTACACAAATAACAGACTTGCATCAGAAAGCTGCTTATCTTTCCTAAAATCTTTACAATTCATTTAAACAGAAATTATGGCTTAGTTCTTTTATAACTAAAACTGTTGAACATGATTATCTGTCCAATAATAGTGTATTTAAACATTCACCAGAGTTAGGCTGTTCTAGTGTAACAAGGGTTCCAACTAATGTAAACCGTTGGTATAGTTCTTTCAACATATAGGCATGTGCATTGCTATTTCTTTGCACTGACTGAGACATGCCATGTGTATATTCAAATGTTTTCCTCCAGTGCTTGATGAGGGAGGCTTTGCTGTAATAAAATACAGCACTTAATTTCTTTGCATTATTGAGGGGAAATGGCAGGTAGTCTTGATGGTTCCTTAAAGCAGAAGGAAAACTCCAAAAGCAGCCATAGCATGTTACGTTCAGGATGGATTCAAATAGATGATTTTTAATTAATTTTTTATTTAAATCAGATTTTTAAAAATTTAAATCGGATTTTTTTATTTTAGTCAAATTTATTTTAATGAAATGTTTTTGGAGGAAGCATTCTATCAAAAGATAGTTTTCTATTTAAGATACATTGTAGTTCAAATATTATTCAGTATGAAATAGAGCTTAACTATGTAGCAGCATGCTGTATATTCATGCAGTATTTACATTTTTGGTATACTAATTCAAATAATCCAAGTTATCCAAGCTAACATGCACTTTTTCACAGTAAAAAATTGTATAAAATAAACAAAAGTTCAGGAAATTACTTTAATTCCATTGTTGTTTTGCAAATCTATCTATGAACAATGAACATATTACCTTAAACACTATGTATGAAGATTGTTTGGAGTGAAATACATGTACAGTATACCAGGCTCTAAGTGGGAGGAGGGAGGGGCAAGCAGTGAAAATGAAAGTGAAACCTGAGCAGCTTTACAAACCTTGGGGTCTTTGTGCACATAGCTTGAAGTTGTTTGTTTTTACTAAAATGTATTTTGTTTAACTACTTCAGTTAATAAATATTGATGTCTAAGCAAATACAAGAATATATAAGCTATATAATGTTATTGGTTTAGTTAAATAAAACAATTTAAGTAGTATTCCAAATATGAGTGATTAACCTATTAAACTA